GAAAAAGTGATTTTGGTAGGAAGACTGGCAGACATTGAAAGAGGTACAGAAAGCGAGGGAGAACGTTCATTTTGATACAGTTTACCCTCCCAGCGATAGTTAAATGTAAATTATTCCACCTTTCCAAATCATATTTGAGCTTGTCAATTAGTGGTGGGACGTTATCTTTGTAAAGGTCTTAGAGTTTTCCACTTATATTCACGCCTAAATACTTAAGATTACTCCTAGACATCTTGAAGGTGAAGAGTCTATCGGGGATCTGAAGGGCCAGGTCATTTACGGGGAAACACTCACTCTTGGAAAAGTTTAGCTTGTACCCTGAGAAGGTTCCGAATCGGGTTAACAGATCTATTATCTGAGGAATGGTAGATATAGGGTTAGAAATGAACAATAGTAAATCGTCAGCATATAACGAGAGTATGTGTTCAGAGCCATATCTGGTAATTCCTTGTGTAAAACTGGCCGATTTAAGCGCAATTGATAGGGGTTCGATTGCCATAGCGAATAGTAACGAGCTTAGAGGACAACCCTGGCGAGTACTGTTGGAGATTTGGAGGGATAACTGGTCCGCTTTTCAAATCTCCGCGCGTTCCTATGAAGCTGGTTATAATACAGGAAGGAATCCATATCTACAAAGTAACCGTTAACAATAATCTACTTTAATGGCAATATGACAATGCAATACAATCATTACAATACAACATGATATATTACAGTTATATTGCAATGCTTAAGGAGTAATGCCGGCTTACTCCTGCTCTAGTCCGCATACTGCAGAGCTACTTTCACCCGAGCGCAGCATGTGAAGAAGAGGCCGAACGCCAGGGAATCCACCGGATATATACCAGAGTAAGAAGGAGGGGTTTGGTGTTAGGTCAGCTGGTCATCTTTTCAGGTCATCTCATTGGGAGACGCAACGCAGCAGGAAACGCAGCAGGAAACGCAGCAGGAAACCAAACAGGCTCACTTTCCAACAAAAGGTCTCAAGGCCTGCATACCTACACCTCCCCCACAGAGCCATAAAACCCTGTTTACTCCAACCAGCCCAGAATGTTTATAGCCATTTGTAGTCCTTACATTTATGAAAGGATAAAACAGAGAAATCAATATAAAACACAAACACAGGTATTGCTTGAACAGTATTCACTTAACTGCTACTATTGATAAGCACCAGAGAAACCCAAGAGACCTCTCTTAACCTCACAAACACTGCAGCTAGATCTAAGTTGAATGCAAATCAGGACATGCTCTCCCCTTCCCCCATCTTCCTTTGTCCTCAAAAACACATGTCAACAGGCCCCAAATGCAGCTCACAGTTTTACCCAAATTATTCTCCTTTTAAGCTTATCCATAGTTTGCTAACATGAATAAATACAAATATAACTCTACAGTACCTCTACCTAGTGTAAAATATTGAGAACTTATCCCGTTAGTACTCACTGAAGCCTTGGGTGAAGAGTATAACAATGCTATCCACGACACAAATTTGGATCCGAGGCAGAACCTCTTAAAGGTGACATGTCATGCTTTTCTGGTTATTATCCGTCCCCTTGTGTGTTATGAAGGTTGTTATGCATGTAAACGGTGTGTAGAGTCAAAACCCTCAAAGTACACCCTGTAGCGAGTAAAACTCTAAAACAGAAAATACCTCCCCAAAACGCCTCGTTGGAGATACGTCACTGTCCATTTGATTCTTCCGGGGACATCATGATGTCATGTCGTCCCCGGAACGAAATGGACCAACCGTGGAGCCGTTACGTTACGTCCGCGGAGCCGTTACGTTAAGCCCCCGCTGATTGGTCCAAATTGACCAATCCACGGACTTCCTCACACACTCATTACATGCAGCTCTGCTGAACTCTCCTCCCTGGCTGCAGGCTGATAACAGACAGTTGTGATCGCGGCGAAATTCTCTCTGCAGATCCATTCTCACAGCGTTTATCAACCTTTTTCTTACTCAATATCAAGCCACACTTATTGTTTTTACTTCGGCTGTGACTTTGTGTGTGCTCAGGGTGAGTTTGGCTGTGTTTAGCTGTGTATCGCTAAACAAGGAAATCACACCTCCACGGAGCTTAGCGCGATTCACAACGTCCCGACTGGTCCCGACCAATCGGAGCACACTGGGCTCACAGGGAGGGGTGGCAAGAGCTGCAACGAGCCGTTTAGTGGAGAGAGTGAATACTGCTGAATACACATACTTTACAGAAATGCTGTATGCGAAACCAATGTGAGTTTGGAAAATTGCACAGTATAAATCTATTCTAGTAGACCTCAACAATGGAATTATGATCAGTGGAAATGGCCATGACATGTGACCTTTAAGGACCTCAAATAGAAAGCCCCACTCCACCCTGTCGAAACGCTTTCTCTGCATCCAATGAGACCACCACCTCTGGTGTCTCCTTGGATGCAGGAGAGAGGAGGATGTTGAGAAGGCGACGGATGTTGGAGAAGGAGTATCGGCCTTTCATAAACCCAGTTTGGTCTAATGATATGATGTTTGGCGTGACTGATTCAAGGCGTATGGCTAGTATTTTAGCCAGGATCTTATAGTCCGCATTCAGAAGGGAGATGGGGCGATAGGAGCTACATTCAGAATTATCCTTGCCTGGTTTTAATAATACAATTACTACCGCCTCAGTCAGAGTTTGTGGCAACGTTCCCCGGTCCAGAGAGTCCTCAAACATTCTCAAAAGAAGGGGGGTCAATTTATCAATAAATTGTTTATAAAACTCAATTGGATAACCGTCTGGGCCCGGGGACTTGCCACTCTGGATCAACCTGATCGAATCAGCTATTTCACTAGGCTTTAGAGGTTGATCCAACTCACCCTCCTGAGAAGGTGTTATGGACGGAAATTCCAGATCATCCAAGAATTTAGTTCTGTCCGCATTTTCGACAGGGGCTTGTGAGGCATATAGTCCAGAGTAAAAGGTTTTAAAGGTGTCGTTGATAACAGATGGGATTGTTGTGAGTTCACGAATAGGGGTCCGTATTTGTTTAATTTGTTGGGAAACCGACTGGCTCTTAATTTGGTGTGCTAGGAGACGACCCGCCTTCTCCCCATGTTCATACTGAAATCCACGCGATCTTAAGAGCAATTTCTCAGTCTCTTGCGTTGAAAGTAAAATGCCTTTCCTTATCTAGTTCAGGGGATGGACATGTTGAGAGTTGGCTATCTAGTTTTGCTATACTGCCCAAAAGTTCTAACTGTTTTTGCTTTTTCATTTTGTTTTGGCTTGCAGAGTAAGAGATAGTCTCTCCTCGGATCACAGCTTTTAACGTCTCCCTCAGCACGGGTAGTGGGGCTGCAGGTCTCCCTTGAAAAAGAGATCTATGATCTCAAGGGACCAATCTGATTAAATAAAGGTTTGAAATGAAATGAGTGGGCGCAACATGATTGCAGCGTCCAGGCAGCTTTCCGTTCGAGCATATGCCTTGAGTTGCACATAGCTCCAACGATCACACACACACACACACACACACACACACACACACACACACACACACACACACACACACACACACACACACACACACACACACACACACACACACACACACACACACACACACACACACACACACACACACACACACACACACACACACACACACTGTATTGTATTATTGAAGGAGAGAGGTTCCAGGTTGAATTGAGGCGAATATTTGTAATGTTCAGAGGTTGTTGTGTTTAATATTCATGAGAATATTTGTCATTGTTCAAATGATAATACATTTGCATAAAGCATATTTGTCCACTCATATGTTGATAAGAGTATTACAAACTTGAAAAATATCCCTCTAAGGAACATTTAGAACCGATAAATGTGCGATTAATCGCGATTAAATATGGACAATCATGCGATTAATCGCGATTAAATATTTGAATCGACTGACAGCCCTAATATATATATATACTAATATATAATATTGTACTTCTAACATATATATTAAATATATAAGTAAATAATAAGCCCAATTTTTCTATAAATTAAGTCAAATAAAGTTGACAACATTTTCTAAAAAATCTTAGTTGATAAAAAAACATCCCAATTACTTATTTTAATTAAAAGCTTGAAATATAACCTTCCTATTTACCCGTATTATAAGCAATCTGAGGCTAAGGTTTGAAGGGATTTTTATACAATGAAGTTACATTTACTACAACTACATTGCAGAACTTAAAAGCTATTGAATTCATCAAAACTAATATTACATTACATTACATTGCATTTAGCTGACGCTTTTATCCAAAGCGACTTACAATAAGTACATTCGACCAGGAAGACACAACCTTGAAGAAAACAGAATCATATAAGCACATCAGGTTTCATAGAGCCAAATATTTCAAGTGCTACTCAACTGGCTTTAGATAAGCCAGTCCTTTATTAGTATATAAGTGCTCTGTTAGCAGTTCTTTGTTAGTAATTATATCGCTCGAAGTGGAGTCGAAAGAGATGAGTTTTCAGTCTGCGCCGGAAGATGTGCAAGCTATCTGCTGTCCTGATTTCAATGGGGAGCTCATTCCACCATTTTGGAGCCAGGATAGCAAACCCACGTGTTTTTGCTGATGGGAACTTGGGTCCCACTCGCAGCGAGGGTGCAGCGAGTCGTTTGGCTGATGCAGAGCGTAGTGCACGCGCTGGGGTGTACAGTTTAATAAACATGTTAAAAGTTTTTATGTACCAAACAAATGTGTACGAGTAACAATCTGTTCATCAATAATGTGTCATTCACAGTACTGTGCTGTTTTTAAACTGTTGTGTCACCACCCTGTGGATATGAGAGGATGTAGCAGGCAGCGTAAAGCCTCTGTTTCCAAAGAAGGAAGGAAAAGCCTGTTTTTCTCACACCCTCTCTGTCTGTTGCTATTAGATTCTATTAAGTTTCTCAGCAGATAAAAGCCCTTCAGTTCACATGCTGACTCACTCATAGCTTGGCACATCAGATTTTTATCCGAACCATTGTATACGTTTCTTTGATTGTGATTGTAGGGCATGGAGCAGCGCTAAATGCTGATGGAGAAGTGGAGCTTGATTCCATTATCATGGATGGAAGGACACTTGCCAGTGTTGCCGTGGCTTCAGTGAAGAACATCGCCAATACTGTGTCACTGGCACGGGCAGTGATGGAAAAGGTGTTGTCTTAAATACTTGCTTTTGTCTTTCTTTGAAGAAACAGTAAAGACCACTAACTCAGGGTTTCCGTTAGCCGGTAATTACCGTTTTTTAGCTGGTAAAATTTTAATAAAAACTGGTAAATTCAAAACCTGCCGGTCAAAATGTCCGATACTCCGATCGATTGGCCGCCGATCATTATCGGCCAATATTCACTATTAATAGTTTGATCTGTGCTCTCTATAAAGGCCGATCAGCAGAGCTGGATCTGATCGATATGGACATAAACGCGAGTGAAGTGTAACCGGACGCGAGAGAGAGATCAGATCAGCTGCTGCATAATCACCTGAAGCCCCGCCCACTGTTTAGCGAGCTGCATGAGAAACTGACGGGCTGTCAGGAGAGAGGGGAAAAGAGGATCCGTTTCTCCCGTGTTATTATTCAAAGTTGATGTAAACTTTTGAATAATGTGCTTCATCTACTACAAGTAGTTTATTTTAATGTAATAATTATGTTGTTTGTTGTTTGTGGAATCATTTATTGAAAAATGAATCTGAATTTTTCAATCTGTTACGATTATAAATTGAAGCAATATAAAAATGACTCCCATTAACTGAGTTTTAAACATCAGCATATCCAGTCCTAGTCCGGTAATTACCTGCTAACGGAAACTCTGCTACACAATTCTTATTATTGAAACATGTTTCAAATTTGTCCGGTAAAATAAATTCTGTCCGGACATTTGAATATTATATATTAATTTTCCATTGATTTCCATATTTTCTCACAGGTAAATCTCTAGCAGATTCTTCCCAGTTGTCTCTGCAGTACATGGGAGACCGTGTCCATTATGCAGGAGGCGCTATAGTCGTTTCTCCGTCAGGACAGTGGGCAGCAACATTTAGCACAGAGCGAATGGCCTGGGCAGCAGTGGATCAGGATGTTCTGTGGTATGGATTAGACCCAAAGGAAACACTGAATGAAAAGTTAGGCCAATAACATTCAAAGTGTGGAGCTATAGAATACACATACTGTATTTCTTAATTGTTTTTCTACTAATTCTGTATGGTTTGGACCACACTGTCTGTCATTGTTGATACTGGTGTTTGTAGCCAAAGGAAATTAGTTTTCTTCATTAATTAGCATGTCAGAGCTACATACTGTATGTACAATGACATAATTGAGAAGCTGGTAGATATTATTCTAAGTCTAAACCGGACCAGTTTTTGTTATCCCTTGATTTCTGGATTGAATATTACATTAAATACTAATTGAAAATGTCAGATCTTTTTTTTTCTTCAAAAAACATTTATTGTTTACATTATGTAAGTTTATTTCTCCCCATTAGCGTTTCTCCTCCCAGGACCGTCTATCATCACTCTTTCACACCTTTATACATAACGTTTTTTGCATGCCATGATAATCAGCTCTGGTGGGTAAACATTGAAAGACTGTATTAAAGGTACACAGTGTGGACAAAACAACTAACAGAAAAGTGGCACCCGGTGATATGCATACAAAAAAAACACATCTGGTTACATATTATGAGGTTAACCATTGGAGCAAAAATGATTGTTCTGTGAGAGATTTGATAAATAATTAAACAGTTATGTGGATATAATGACTTAAATAATAATAGAACACACATTACAATCTAGTGAGTGGAAATGACTTTACTGCAACATGGCCTCTAAAACAAGGAAAAGACAATACTTTAGTCACATTACCACTAGACAATATCAAGTCTCATAATACTACATCAAATGTATTGCCCAGCCCTAAATGGAAGATGTATCAGTGTAAATGTGTTATTTAAAAAATATAATAGACTGTCAATTTACATCGGTATTCAAAATCATTGTATGCAGTTCTTTTTTTGTTTACCTTAAAGTTCACCTGAACATCTTCTTTATGCTGTTAAGCAGTTAAAAGGGTGGATAGGATTCAAGACCATCCTGCTCCAATTTAAGAATCAAGTGTTTGGTTTAAATTCAATAACATTTACTGAATATATAAATTAAGCACTGTCTGTGATACTGAATCGTATTTTGTAATCACCTCTGGTAGGAATGGACTATCAGGGGGTTGTTAACATAACAACAGCTTCATTCATGAGCCTCTTCTTCATTTGGCCAGCAGCATTGTTGGCCCTGCTTCATCCTTTTAAATAATGGCTACTCAAACAGAGACAGTCACTGTATACAAACCTGATTCTGAATTTGAATGAGAAAGCAAAACCATTTACTTCCTGGTATATAAGTCATGGGGAAGCTCTTAACTGCTAGTTCATAAGTTGGTGGTTCACAAAACACTGAACTGGAGACCAGGAGTAGTTATTATTTTGAAGCACAGCAGTATCCTCAAAACCTGGGCTTTTAATATAACTAACTATTATTCACAATTTTCAAATTACTTTTATGTTGTTCTTATAAGTAATCTCGATGTATTTCAGTAAATGGGAACACTTAAGATTCGTACTGTAGTGAAGGGTGTTGGTGCAGTGCTAAAGGTAAAAACTAAAGGAACTTGATCGTGGGCAAACTAAACTGTAACTGTCATAAAAGTATGAAATAGATGTAGAAGAAGTCATTCAGATGCCAAGATGAGCAACATATATGTTATCATAACAATGTCCTGCTGTTGGTGTGCAGAGCAAAACTAGATGCATTCATAATTACAGTTATATACATTTATAAAAGAGTATTTAAACTTTGCGCACCAAATTCCATTATAAAAAAATCCTTATCTCATCATACAACCCATGTCAGTTATTGGCTTAAATAATAAGAGATGGTGTTATAATGTTAGGATATTCTTGGGCTACACAAACTGCAAACTTGTAGGCTATGCAAGTTGGAAATGTTTGTGTTTACTCAAGAGTCCCAAGTCCAATTTTACTCAACGAAAGCTTTATGATCACAGGTTCCTTTGAAATGATTAACGACTACATGAATAAGCCGACTGGTCATTTTCCCGTAAAGTTTAAAAGAAACCATGATCATTTTACCGAGTATATATGATCTCATAAAATAAAACATAAATAAAGCTATAAATGATGTCACACTTAAACAAAAAAAGATGAATAAATAAATAATACATACAATAAATACATTTGCTTTCCAGGCAAGAGGGTTTCAACTATTTCACGTTGCACTATTTAATGCAGGGGTGTCCAAACTACGGCCCGGGGGCCAAATGCAGCCCGCTGACCATTTTGAATCGGCCAATGTAATACGGCCCACAAATTAAACTTTTGCTTGACTTATATTGTACTTCTTATATATGTAAAAATATATTACACAGTAATATTCAGGTGTTAATAAGCCCACTTTTCAAATAAATTCACTCAATTAAAGTTGGAAACATTTTCTAACAAATCTTAGTTGATAAGAAAAAAGGCCCAACAACTTATTTACATAACCAACTTGAAATAGACCCTTCATATTTCAGAACTAAAATAAATGAAACCCTATGGAAAGCTATGATGGCTTCTTTTTTCTTAAGGCATTATCAAGTATCAAGCATAATTTACCTATATTTGATTAATTTTGCTAACTTATAACTGAACTTATGAGGCAATATACCTCATCTCTAGTGGATGGCCCAGCCCTTCGTATATCTTTCTGTATGTGTGGCCCTCGGTAAAAACAAATTGTACCCCTGATTTAATGTATGGTAGAAAGAAAATAGCCTTTCCACCTTTAGTTGGCTGAATACATTTCAAAAGTTAACATAGTTTGCTCTTCAATAAAGTTAACCCGTGTGGACTCTTGTTTACAGAGCAACAAGATTGAAAACCCGCAAATAGAAGTATAATATAGACAAGTGTAATGTCCGCACCATCAGCTGCTAAGCTACCTGTAAACAGAAGCCACGTGACAAGCAGCGCTGCCTGTCAGGGCTTTGCAGCAGCAGGACGAATGACGGCCGAGTTGGAGGAAGTTACTGGGAGCAGCTGTGCTAGTATGTAACCCTAAACGAGTTGGAGACAGCATTGCAGTAAAAGAGAGGTAAGAGTATTATACGTGAAGATAAATATTTCTTAATATCCTAACTGATCGCATTGGAGCAGATGCATGTGGGCGTGATCATCTAACGACCGTTAGCAGCACTCAGGCTACAAACAAACTTGGTAGCTTGAGGCCTAATGCTAAAGCAAGCGAACTAGCCTGTCTGACAGATTAAGCACCGAGCGGTCTAAATAAACGTTTACATATTTTATGCAACATATTTTTGATGTTCTGGCCTTTATTTTTGTTGATGCAAATTATATTCACAGGATCAGTTCATGAATTTAAGACAGTGAGTTACCTAAGGTGGTAACTTCCTTCTTATGCTAGCATTAGCTTGCTAATGATGCTAGTGCTCTGCTGCGGATTGTTGTTAGCCTTTTTATAACGCTAGCATGCTAACTAGCAAACACTTCATACATTGAGAGAACTAGGTCACAAACATGCTGTGTTTCAAATTGGGATTAAGTCATATTAGGGAGCATTGCATAAACCCGTCTGGAGATCTGCTAACATATTCATGTAGCGTTTTTTTAATGCACTGTTTATTTCTGGCCTGCACAATATTGTGTAGTGTAACTTTATTGTAAGGAATGGGCAACTTGCTGCTAATTTAATCATAGCTTTGCTTTTGATGGTTTTCCAAGTTGGTCATTGTAAAAGCTTTTATTGCACTTGCAGAAATATACCTAATCTGTATTCACAATGTGAAAGACCTACGGAAATGGCCACAACTGAGATCATGCGAGGTTATTTGAACGCAGCCTGACCGTAGCAGGACAGTAAACAGGCATCTACAGTTAATTGAGGCAGCACAGAAGCAACGTTTAAAGCTCCCCATCACTATATTTCCAACAACTTTTAAAAGGGACATTCCGTCAGTAATCAATCACTTTCAACTTTAATTTGTTTTCTCTACATGTTAACCTTTATAAAAGTGTTTAAACGTGGTTGGATAATCCAAAATGACCGACCATTCAGGATATAGGGGCCCTTACAATTGGCCATATTGGACCCCCACGTAACCTTAAGACACATATATCATCTTTAAAAATAAACAAAATGCATGGTTCCTTTAAAACCCCAAAATGATTATGGTCCATAATAAATAAATAAATGTCGACATACAGTATTATTTAAAATTAAATATGAGTTATCCATGATATGAAAATCTTATTTTTGTAATGTTGTGTTTATTATACACTTTGTACTGCCTGTTGCTTTGTATCACTGTGGAACAAGGTAGTTTAGCCTTCAAAACTAATGAATATCTGCTCATCCTTACTAGCTTGCTGAGATAAGACCAAAGACATGCATCAAGATAGTTCTTCTATAATTATTCATATAATTGTTTTTGCTTGATCAAAATGGGTAACTGCTGTTTTTCCTACATTCTGTCTGTTTGTTTTCATACAGGAAGGCAGCAGCATTCATGGATATTGTGGACAGCTTTAACAGTTTAATACCCAGTGACCAGTTGGACGACTCCCTGATAGCTGGTCAGAATTTGGAATGTGACGCGAGTAATGAGTTTGGGACAGGACTCCGGCTGGAAGAGTCGCTGAAGAACATGCTCAGTGATAAAGATCCCATGTTTGGATGTGCAAGCTCCTCTCAGTTCAATCTGTTGGACAATGAGGACTCCACTTTTCCAATTGCTGGCTCAACAGGTATGTCAACGGACAAAATACAAATGTCCAATATGGATTTGTATTGATACCAAACCTGGATTTAAAGCTTATTTACATATGCTACTACCAAAGCCTAATCTGGCTGCTTCACACTAAAAGGCATTATAATTCACAATAGACCTTGCTAAAGGAGGTTCTAAGTATATATAACGGTTCACTTACATTTCACCTACTGCTAAGTTTTGAATTGCACACTAATATTGTGTTGTCAGCCCTATCAGGCTTTGCATTCAAACTATTTATTTAGTGTGTTGGAGTTCAATCTTTTTGACTGTTGTGATTGCCAATTC